GAGTGCTGCTGAAGGCCGTAACGGAGGTGCTGGTCGTAAACAGCTCAAACTCCATGGCTTAGGAGTTTTAGGAGGTTCCAGGGGTCCCCAGTTTATAGTGGTATGAGGTGTCCCATGATGTGAAGGATGAGGAAGAGTGTGGTATACTGGAGTTAGTGGCATTTGCTTACTATCTGCATGCTTGCTGGATGGTGTTACAGGATGAGAAGGAAGCTGCCAAATGTACAAAGATTACAGGTACAAAGAAAAAGAATGATAAGAAGGAACAACAATGTTTATTCTCTGATTCTGGACCTTCTTTCATGGGCTAGCATGGCTTACTGTGTTTCATTTATGCCAACTAGCTATCATTATTAAGTTTGATGGAAACCCAAGCAGTACCAGGTTTGTTATAACTTACACAGTTGCCAACACTCTATCAAGCTATTAAATGTGATCTTGTATTAATAGCATAACACCAATAAATTGGATAGGAGAGGGACTATATATTTTAGGTAGAGCTCCAGCAACTGATATTTTTAATGTCACATGACCAATTCATATATGACCAGAACCTCTTGGGTCAGACAAATTATATCATTGGTTTCCATACCATGTCATCAAATCCCAAAGAGAATCAATGCTAGCATGAGAAACAGCTCTTTCTCCAGGACCATGTAGCTCTTGTTCACAGACATTACCAAAATAGCATGGGGCCAAGTCACATTTGGCACATAACTCTGTTTACAAATGCACAATGGTTTAAATATTACTTCTTGACTTTAACACAGAAAAAATGGTTCCATACACTCACCAATTCTGCTCTACCATTACATTATCAGAATGCCTCAGGTAACATACTCATTTATAAAAATGGGTTTAAAGGTGCATGGTTTCTTACCGTGTGAGATGGCACAGAATGAGGCTTAATAACAGGAGTCCCAATAGCTGTTACTTTGGTTTGTTTCTGCAGATGGTCTACCCATTCATGCAAATCTTGTTGGTTATTGCAAGATACCAGTATTCGTTCAATCATATTTCCTAGAATCAAAACAGAAGGGCAATAAATAAATATTTTTCAACTTCTCAGCAACAAACAAAATAGAATGTTATGCTCTTTAAAGATCACTATGCTTTGCCTTGTGTGTCTTCTCCCTATTATATTGCCACAAACTGATAATTTTAAAAGTGTGCTTCTGGTTAAGTAATTTTACAATTAGGCCTACATTTTCAGAATTTTGTTACCACTTTAGCCTTCTTATGCCCCTTCAAAAATTAGCAATAGTTGGCCACAGTATCTGTGGGAAGTTTGCAAAGTCAGATTTGGACCAAGAATGTAAGAGTTTTACAGTTTTTCTCCGTACTGAACAATGCTCCTCCTACAATATTGAACGCACCTCATTGAGAACTATCATATGCAATTTGGAAAATTAGGCCTGAGCTAGAGTGCCATGATGATGTTACTTTGCTTGGCAGAGAACATGACTGCTCATTTTGGGCTGGTGAAGATCCAGTAGCATTGGAATCAGTTGATTTCCAGGCATAATTCAAGGTTTTGACCTTTAAAATCCTTAAGGCTTTATATCTTAAGATAGCATCAGTTCCCTTAATTAATATCCCCAAAATAATCTGAGAAAACTGTACTCTGGTGACTTCGGGAGGTCTTTCTGCTGGTGTGCTATTTTTTATTGAACTCCCTATTTAAGAAATTTCCAGAGTTTTTTGTTTGTTTTTTGTTCTAGTAACAATTAAATCAATTTTAGCGCTGGACTGCTGCTTATACTCTTTAATGAAGTTTTAATTAAGTTTAGTGGAATTTTTTTAAAATAGTGAAGTATGCTTTGAGTTCATATTGAAAGAAGAAAATCACACATAAGTTTTAAAAACAGACTGAATTTAATAATTAATATAATTATTACTCATTTTGATGAGTAAAATATAAACAACATAAAGGAGAAATTGCTTGAATTACCCTGCTACTCATACAAACAAACCACTAAATTGTTCAGAGCTGGAATGGGGAACTGATGGTCCTTCAGATGTAGTAGAACTTCAGTTCCTGCACTATTGAATATGATAACAAGGTATGACGGGGGTTGCAACCCAACATGTTCTGGACAGCCACACATTCCTCACCTCTGTTTTTAGGTGTTTCTTGTTGTACACACTGATATAAATAAAAGCAGACAGCAATGTACAAGGACATTACCTGAAATTTCAAATGCATTTCTGTGATTTTCACAATCTTCTAGCTTTGCAATGCTCATCCCTGTCAGTGGCAGTTTCCCCTAAACACAAACAGGTCACTGTTTAAATAAACTTGAGATATAAAAAAGATCTTAAATGAAAAACAAGCATAAGATGAGAGATATTCCTTGCACCAAAGGGTGAGGGCACATTCTGAATGACCTTGAAAAAAGCATCTTTGTGCTTAGGTTCCACATCCTACTCTATAATCCTAAAAGCACTTACAGAGAGATACCACAGTAATCCACACTGACAGGCATATAATACAGATGACCCAACAGCTGAAGATAATGGGTTGGATCCAGACTTTAATTTTGGCTCATCAAAATCAGTTTAAAAAAAAAAAACCTTAATCATATTCAACACACTACCCACTAATCCTAGTTCTGCTGGAATACTTTATGTGTAAATAAGTTTGGATCCAATCCAATTTATATATCGACAGAAAACAAAATTGCATTAAAACTTCTTTTACCTGATAAATAAACCCACTCATCCTAGGGCTGGCAGACAACATGAGCAAAATGTTAGGAAAGAGGAGAAGGTATCTTTCATTCTTTTCCTTATTTTAAGAAAAAAAACAACAGAAACGAGAAGTCATTCACATAGATAATAAAACATTTACATGAAATGTGACAAAACTATTCTGATGATATAGTAAGATCACAAACATTTGTTTATAACTTAATTATTAATTAAATCAAAATCTGGCCTTTCAAGAAACAACAAAAATAGACAAACAGCACCACCTTTAGATGTTATTTCAAAGAGTGCTGCTAGTACTATAAGGATTTTCCCCATAAAGTACTTTATCAGCATGACATAGACTGAGAAACTCTGCTTTAGGAAATGGAGAGAATATAAGAGGAGCTGACCAGTTCTGCCCCCCAAAGGAGCCTGAGTAAATGTGTACTAGATGTATCTGTTAAGATTATATTAAAATGTTTTAATTTTTTAAAATAAAGATTTACTTTTTTTCCTCTCTCTCTCTCTTTTAAAAACATTTCTTCAGTAACTGCTCTGAGATTTGCCCAGTCCTAACAATTTTTCTTTTGTAAATAACAGGAGTCAGTAGAGTATTCAAAAAGCCAATGCAGGAGACAAACTTATAAGAGATAATTTTTAATGAGTTAGCAAAATGCCTGACAATGGAGTGTACTGCATTTCTTTCTACTACACAACTGTCAAAATATATAAAATGTTAGCAACCTGGGGAAACAATTGGAAAAGTAAACCTGTCATACCTCATTACCAGCACACTGTATCATGACTTGGGACATATAAATAACATTTCCCAATGTTTTAATGTCCTCTCCTTCCCAACAGCGGATAGCTTCTGTTAGTATCTGGAGTTCAAGTTCCTTCCTTTTCCGTACTTCTTGACATTGTGCCTGTTGGATGTAGGGGGAAATATCATTAAACAGTGTGCAAGCACAAATACACTAGTCAAGTATCAACATTTGTTCAGTACTATATCTCAAGTACTTTCTGTTTTAGAAAACTGTAGAAGAGGAAAGGTCTTCTCAGAAGCAACAATAGCCTGAGCTATTTGAATAACTGAACTCCAGCCATTCTGTTGATCTTTCTTACAAGAGATAACCATGCTGGAGCACAGTGACAACACAGATGACAACAACACCATTAGATGCCAAACTAATGTTGGTTTAAAGCAGGGGTAGGCAACCTTTTTGGGCCGGGGGCCGGGTTGCTGTCCCTCAGACAATTGGGGGGCCGAAGCACCAAAAATAAATAAATAAATAAACAAACAAACAAACAAACAAACATAAAAATATTTTTAAATAAAAATTTTAAAAAAATTAAAAATATGCATGCACACTCTCTCAGCCCCAGAAAAGCCCTTGTGGAGATTTTGCCAAGAAAACCCCAAGAACAAGTAATAACAACAATAATCAATATCATCATGGTGGGCGGCGGCGGCGATGGGGGGCAGCGGTGGAGGTGGCAGCAGGACCAGCCTGGGGCCAGTCCAAAGGCCTCAGGGGGCCGCATCCGGCCCCTGGGCCTTAGGTTGCCTACCCCTGGTTTAAAGACTACACCAGCAGTCATCAGCTCATGGCCCTCCACATGTTTCTGAACTGCAGCTCCCATAATCCCTCACCACTGGCTATGCTGATTGATTAATTGCAGACAAACAACAACTTGAGGGCCAGTTACCCACCTAAAACTTACTTGAGGGGAAAACAGAAAACTCTGGTCACCTCAGTAGTAAGAAACCTGTTATAAAGTGGTTACCCAATGGTATTTTAGTGTATTTTACTCCAATCCTCAGCACACCAAAAAGGGCTCAAGGGGCAGGTTGCATGCAATCAATTAAAAAGTAGTCATACTTGCAGTCTAAAAATACACAATACAAATGAGAAAAGAGATGGAGAGGGGGGAAATGGCTCTACAAGACATATCATCTTTTTTCCAGTGTAATCCCTTGGAAATGGTTGCCAGTTGTGACAGATGAGAAAGTAGTTTCAATGAAAGGAACTCCCCCCCCCCCCAAGGTTCTCTCTCCTCTTACCCCTTTTAACACTAGGTAATGTTTAATACTTTCCCTTGCCATCCATTTCTTCCCTTCCCTCAAGTATCATGGCTTACCTCAGTTATAAGACCACAGGCCCCTAGGCTTTGTCTTGTTGTGTGAGCCTTCAAGCTCTTAATGACTAATGACAATTCAATCAAAGAGTTTTCTTGACAAGGTTTGTTCAAAATTTGTTGAAGCTGAGAGAATGTGATTTGCCCAAGGTCACCCAATGGATTTCCACAGCCGAGCAGGGATTTGAACCCTGGTCTCCCAGAGTACTACTCTAGCACTCAAGCCAACTACACCACACTGGCTATAACTACTTACATCTATAGCACAAAGCCTTGAGAATGGGCAAATTCCCTCACGGAAAAACAGAAGCTGTCTCTGAGGAACAGCATTCTTTATCACAGTTCAAGTACAAATAATATTTTGCAAGAAATTTTCAAAAATGTTTTTCAGCACACCTGAGATTCACCTCACTTTCCTTGAAGAAATATACATTCACCTCTAATATAGCACTCCATCTCAAATATGACTTTCTCTGAACTACTCACTGCAACTGTGTGAATGTCCAAAGAATTAGATCTATTTTAAACATTTAGCTCTGCATTCTAAAGACTAGTTTCCCATTCAAATCCTTCTTAGAATCCATGGAAAAGGAAGCTTTTGCACAGGCAAGCTAAGATTATACTAATAGCAATCAGCACTCTAACAGGAAGCTGCTTGCATAGAACATCACATGTGTTGGCGCATATATGCATCACAAACTGCAAGTTTAATGTAGTTTTGAGGCTAGGCATTAACTAAAGAAACTGTGACTCTATGAGTTTTGAATGGACTTCAGGCATAAACACACTACATATTTATAGTACTTTCATACCACTTGAATTATTATGTTTCTATTTTATAGAATACTGGGATTTGTTATTTGGTGTAATACTTAGAATTCTCTGCTAGAGAGCTCTAAAATTCTAGTGGGCCTCTCTTGCAGATAATTCTAAGTATCTCAACAAACTACAAATCACAGGATTCCACAGGATGTAGTGGAATACCATGGCAGCTAGTGGTATTGGCTACAATATTTCAGTGTAGATACAGCCCAATATTTGTGCATCCACATTCTCACTCTCAATTGTGCTATATTAAAGAAGGCAAATAATGACAACAGCCTCACCTCCTCTCATATGGATCCTTAGTACTGCACTTCACGTGGCCAAGCTTGTACATGTAGGATTTTGTAGGATTACCTGTGTTCATGTTGTGTTTCACAGACTTTACTCCCTCCCTTTACTTATGATCTGTCTTTCCCTTGAACCCAAATCAAAATTGTCAATGGAAGCATCCAATTGTCAATGGAAGCATCCATTTTAAATTATTTTATTTATCTAATTTTGAAACTTTTCTCCCACTTACATACTGTTGCCACTCTCTTGAGCTTTGATATGATGTTTGGACTACTGTATTTCCCTTCAAGCACTTTTTGTTTCATGCATTACTTACAGAAAGGTTTTTGAAAGCTGTCATGGATTTCTGAATGTCTGGTCGATCTGGTTGATAATCCTAAAAAATAAAAATAAAAATCAATGAGAACTTACTCTATGACAAAGTGACTAGCATTAACACCAGATTATATAATCAAGATGTATTTTTCACAACTACACACTTTTAATACAGGAAACTTCTACATCATATCACGGAACAAGGATGAGCAAATATATTTAAAGGACTCATTCCCACAAGATTTTTTTAAGTGATACAGATATAGGGATACGCCTTCTGTCATTACCATATAAGCTCCAAGTTTTCCTAATATAGAAATTAAAATTAGAAAACTGGCAATATTCGTAGAAATATAAATTTTAAGAATTTTGTGCTGTAATTCTAAAGTAATTCAAACCATGACAAATGATATTTTGCAACTGAATGTTCTAATGTCTGTCAGGACAAAATATGAAAACTAACATCTTAGCCCATCCGCCCATCCATCCATCCATCCCTTACCTGAAATAAGAATCTGTGCTTGGAAGTGAGGAGAAAGGATAGCGCCAACAAATTTGATGTATTTATCTCTTGTTCTGAACAAAATTTATAGTATATTCATACACACTGTTGAGTAACAGCTCAAAGTTTTCCCCAGTAGACATACTTCAACACATGTTAGTTGAAGTTTGACATCCCAAACCAAAGGAATGAGTAGTGAGTAGTGAGAGCCAATTTACTGAATCTGTAGTCCTAACCAACACCTTTTCCAGCTTAGAAACAAGTCACAAAAGCTTTCCAACTTGAAGGAGAGAGATGTTTAAAAACGATATTCCACATGTCCAAATCCATGCTTGCTTCTAAAAAGACTGTCTATATTCACATTTTTAAAAGATACAAATAGTATAAGGTATCCATCCATATTAACAGATCACTGGTAGATTTCCATAGGCTTCAAAGCAAACTGAAGGGTGCAAATCACTTAAAAACGTGGCCTTGCACCCACATTACTGGAATGTGAAAAGGAGATAGGCTAATACAGCCCACAAGTAAAGAATTTACCCCCTTTGGAAAAATACAATCCCTGAGGTATAATAGTCTTGAATTTTCTAAACTACCATTTCTCCAATGTTAGAAGAATGAACAAGATTTGGGAGCAATGTATCCTTGAAATGTACCTTTTTTTAAAAAAAAGATGCAAAATCATATTTAAACTTGAACGTAAATGCTGTTAAAATATACCTCCATATGTCTTTCAAGCTCTTTGAGTAACGTGGGATATTTATCCAGTCGCATAAATGGTTTGCTCAGGCCCGTTGTCAATACAAGAATCCCAGGACTGTTGGCTCCTTTTGTTTCCATGAATTCTCCTAGCTCTTCACTGTTCCGAATTGGGGGCGGGGGGGAGAGAATAAACAAAATAAAATGATCCAATCCAGTAAGAAGTAAATCATTCAAATTCTTCAGCAACAATCTCATTGTCTGAAAAAGGATGAAGACTAGTCATAAAATATGGATTCCTATGAAACCTATGAATTCTTAATTAAACAGAAAAACAGATAATCAATCTTAATTTCCCTCTCCCTGAATTGCATTTCAAAAGAATGTATCTGTTTGAAGTTAAAAGTAGGATTATTAGTATTCTAAATCAGGGGTAGGCAACCTTTTTGAGCCGGGGGCCGGGTTGCTGTCCCTCAGACAATTGACAGGCCGAAGCACCAAAAATAAATAAATAAATAAATAAATTAAAATTAAAATTAAAATTAAAAAAGAATTTAAAAAATTTTAAAAAAATCATGCACACTCTCTCAGCCCCAGAAAAGCCATGGCAAAACCCCTGTGAAGATTTTGCCAAGAAAACCCCAAGAACAAGTAATAACAACAGTAATCAATATCATCATGGGGGGGCGGCGGCGGTGGGGGGGGGCGGCGGCAGGACCGGTTTGGGGCCGGTCCAAAGGCCTTGCTGGGCCGCATCCGGCCCCCGGGCCTTAGGTTGCCTACCCCTGTTCTAAATAATCAACTAGTTCCAGTAATGTTAATCAAACAGCATATTCCTCAGATTCCCAAAAGGAGAAACAGTTCAACAGTTCAACACTAACAGATCGTACCTGTGTTTATATGCTTGAAATTAAGCCTTATATTCTTCAATGAGGCTTCTTCCCAAGCAAATGAGAAATACAACTCAAGCCTTTGGGAAGCATTTGGAGCTATCAGACTATTCAAGCATCATGTCACAAAAGATGTTCTACCCTATGAAATAAGCATCCTACAGGCGACAAGACTGTAAAAATCATTTTATTCCAGCTCACATTTTCACCCTCTCACTTGTACAATGCTATTGCCTTTTAAAAATTATTCATAACTATTTATGGTGTCATTTTTGTTGTTACTGTGAGTGTACATAAGTTGCTCTGAGTATACATTAATATAGAAGAGTGGGATGTAATGTATTCACATAAACCAACTGACCAGTAACCAATGTGATAACAGAAATTTCTCACTGTTTTCATGAAGAAACACAAAGTTCACTTTTAAGAACAGCTTCATCTTGGCAAACTCAAACTCTCCCACTTTAATTTTACCCACCCTAGAACAATACGAAGAATGTCTAGAAAATATGGCCATTGGTTCATCCTACTCAAACTTTTAGTACTAATGTGCACCATTTAACTGAAAGGAAGTCTCATCTGCCCACACATCTGCGCAAGGCCATACTTAAGGCATGCTTGAAATAGCAATCCAGCACAAAGAACCAAAATTATCTGTCTCTTCCACTGGGCATTAGCAACCAGGAAAATCTATGGCCAAACTTCTCTCTTCTAACAATGGCTATTAGTTGTATGTTTATTCACTCAGAAAATATACAGCTGTACTTTGTACAGTTTCATTGAGTGTTTAGCAATCTGGCAGTTTAAACAACTATTAAAATTCAAAAACATTTAAAAATTAAGAATCCTATGAGTGGGCCATTACGTGAAAAAAATCCTGCCAAGACGACCTATCATGAACACTTATCTCTCATCATATGAAATACCAGAAGGCCATGAGCTGAAGGTATGCAATGATGATAAAATTACCAAGTATCATTTCAGTGAAAACAGGGCCTCCCAGATTAAAAAGCAAAGAAATAACAAAAAGAGCCACAGGTTGTCCAAGCATGATATTGTGCCACTGTAAATATTAGTGGGAAAGGCGATAACAGAGGGGGGATCTGCTCTCTGTCTGTCCCAACAACAACCAGGAGAAAGTAAACATATGAAAACAGTGTGCAAAAAGTACCTCTCTTTCATTAGCATGAAATGTTTTGCCAAGTATGGGAAAAGTGATCAATGGGCAGATCCTGACTGCTGCTGCTACTGGTTACATTAAAAGAAGTCTGCTCTACATATCCAGTGCTATATAGCTCTCCCTCTACACCAAGACTATTCAGTGAAGTCACACAACAATACACCCAACTCCTCCTCTGCTAGGTTAAATAGACCAGTAAATAGAAACTTGCTTCTAAAAATAAGAGTAACTGCTTTCTCTATATAGTGAAGAATGGCACAGAGGCAGAAGTTCTCTGCTCACATTCATATGGCCAAGACAATTCAACATATCCCTGGCTTCTTCCTCTTTAGGGAGTGAAAATGCAGCAACTTTTAAAGGGAATATAGATGGAGCTACATTTTAGAAAATCTAGCTTTTAATATATATATATATATATATATATATTTACATCTTCAAGACAATACTATAGCTCACACAGCCATCAATACAAAAGGCTGTGCCTAAAATATATACATGCATGTGTACGACAGCTGCAGTTTTTTATATTTAGGAGAGATAA